CCATCATTTATTTTTTTATAGTAATATATGTTTAAAACTGTACTTAAATATTTTTATATGCACTTTTATTTGTCCTTGTTGTTGTTGTTCTTATTTGCCGTCGAGTCGGCCCCGACTCATAGCGACCCCTCCTTGGGTTTCTGAGGCAGTATCACTACGGAAGTAGGATTGCCCAACCTTCCTTCTACTATAGCTCCCCTGAAACCAAGTTTCTAGTTTCCCATAAATGATGATAATGGTGACAGCTTCCAGGTCAATTCCCTACTTTACATCATATACCTTTTCTCTGTGATTGATAAGTATGAATTTCTGGATTTGTAATTTGAATGAACATTTGCACACACTGAGCTGTGTTCACTGTCATTTTCAAGCCTTAAAATGGAGCAAAGGTATAGGTGCATTAACTTAAAAGAGAACACAAATATGGTACAGATGATGACGTGTGTGTCTGACAGGGTGTTTTGCATCAAAATTTACCACTGAAGGCACAATTTCTAAAACTACTTAAACCTATAACAGAAAGTAATGGGGATACTTACTTAATTTTGTCAACTAGGTTTTAACCAATTCAAAGTTGAGATAATTATGACATTGCTTGAATTCTCTTTTGTTTTAAGTTGCTTTAATTTTCTCCAAGAAGGAGAAATGTGTTTTTTAGAAATTGACATTAATAATATTAGTTTAAAATATATCTTGCTAATGACTTTTTAAGTTTTAAAATGTCGGGATCTTGTAGTTTGAAACATGGTTAATTTTTACAAATCCATTTAACTATAATCTGAACTGAAAAAATATAAGAAACTACAAACCAAAGAAACCAAACTCAGTGCTGTGGAGTCAGATCTGACTCATAGCAACCCCTCCTTGGGTTTCTGAGGCAGTGTCACTACAGAAGTAGATTGCCCAATCTTCCTTCTGAGGAGTGGTGTCTGGATTTGAATCGCCAGCCTTCTGGTTATCAGTCAACTGCCTTGGGCACTACTTATTAGTTTACAATTCCATTAGCAACAAGTAATTCCAAAATCTTTGAGAGTAAACAAAAATTGTAATATTGTTTTATGTGTTTTGTAGGTGAATCACTTGTCCTAAAAAAAACAAATGTTACAGTCAATCAGTCAACAAGTATTTATTGCTTGACCAAACTGGTGAAATATGCATGGCAATAATAATAAAATTTCTTTTAGGATTATATATTCTGGAAATGGAGCATTAAAAGAATCATTATCTATATGAAGCCAGATGCAAAGAATATCAAGAAAATGTTACTTGAAATTGCTGGTAGAAGTATTTTCCCATCCCTCCTTCTTGGTGGGAAAATACTTCTACCAGCAATTTCAAGTAACATTTTCTTGATATTCTTTGCATCTGGCTTCATATAGATAATGATTCTTTTAATGCTCCATTTCCAGAATATATAATCCTAAAAGAAATTTTATTATTATTGCCATGCATATTTCACCAGTTTGGTAGAGCAATAAATACTTGTTGACTGATTGACTGTAACTTAAGTTGTATGAAAGTCAAGAGATTGGTAATGATTGACCAGAATGAAGATTCTGAATTCTGTGGGTAAGAATTAAGGAAATACTAAAACCAAATGATAATTTTTAATCTGTTTTCTAAGTCAGTAACTATAGAACTAAGATATTAAGCTGAGCTGACTTTTACTAGAAAGACCTATTTTGTTTTACCTTTTCTCTAGTGATAAAGGATCATTTTGAATTGAGAAAGAAGTATAAAGCATATAAAGAGCAAAATGATTTCTTATGTAACTGAATTTACATATGCAATTTTTTTTGTGTGTGTAGTAGACATTAGATTTGATTTTTCTCAGGTTGCAATTTTTATACTAATATTTCTAGTCAGCATAAACTAGTCTCTAAGTGATTAAATTTGGTCACTAAAGTTTTTGTTAGATGTAGACCAAAGAACTGGACTTTTGATAGAAATTTCTAAAGGTATTGGCATCATATTGATTTGGTCTTGGAGAGCTAATGGCAAATAATGGAACAATGTGACATCATGGAACATTTTCACTACTAGAGAAGAGTGTTTTCATTGAAAGGTGACCCTCATTATCATAACCACTACATTTAAGAGCTGTGTTATGGAAATCTGTATATGTGT